GCTTTAAAGAGAGCTATAAAATGGGCTTGAGTTCAGGTAAAGCAGAGAAAAAATTCTAAATATTGTGCACACTTCAACTGTTTTTTTTTTTTTTTTTTTTTTTTTTTTTTTGGGTGGGACCTCTTTTTTAGGTGGCTAAATACATTTTGTTCCTCACCCGTCCAATCCAGTACAACACTTAGCTTTCAGGTTGGACTCCAACTGACATCTACTGTACATAATACACTGACTATAGATAAGTATGTCATACAATCTCACTTCAAAACATCTGAACTATCTCTTTCAATAGTTTAACATTTTGAGAAATACACTGATTCACTTCCTTCTAAAGTTTCATTTTCAGATGTTATAGATAATTCTACAGCAAGGTTAGCATAGCTTAGCTTAGCATAAAGACTGGAAACTGTGGTAGGCAGCTAGCCTGGCTCTGTCCAAAGGTCACAAAATAAACCTTCCAGTATCTCTAAGGCACACTGATTAACATGTTTAATGTCTCAAAGAGTAAAGATTTCCTTAAGTTTCATATGTTTTCTAAAGGATATACAGTAAGTGTTGCTGATGGTGATGGACATCATGGCAGTTGACGTACCCATATCTGTCCTAGTTGCAGTCCCTCAGGGAGGCTTGATGTGATTTACAGTCAACAGTTTTGCATTTATGTAATGGGAGTCTGCCTCAGTACTGTCACTGTCCATCCAGAGCCTTCTCCTGAGACACAGACAATAGCCCTGCATGGCCTGGAGGGAATATTGACATTTAGATGGTAACCTAATGAGAACAAACCAGGACTGTTGTCATTATTCTCATAATTCAGCTTAACTACTTCCTCGAGCCATTGCCTGTAAAAAATATTGGGATGACTGATAGGCCTGCATAGAGCACTGTGGGAACAAATTTTGAACCAGAGCTGTTTGGTGTGTCTTCAAAACACCTGGATTCAACTTAATTTCAGACTTCCCCAACAAAACTGCAGAGGAAGGAGGTTTCTGGAAAGCTTTTAGACTTCTGAAGAAGAGGTTAAAAAAATTCTCCAGTTGGTGCCAGTGGTGGACTAGAGTCACATGACTTGGACAGCTTGACGACATGACACGAGATTAAAAATGTGTTATTTAACAAGTGTGCCACGAATCAATTCATTACCCTTTCTTTTATTAAATCTACTACTATTCCCAACAAGCTGACACTTAATTTCCCAGATCCGCTTTGTTTAAATCAGTCCAAAAGCATGTGATCAAGTTGCTGGAAAATAAAGATACATAGGACAGAAACATACAAAATTCATTCTTTTTTGGTACTTAATAGTGCTATATGCATTATGCTATATGAAAACACAATATCAGCACTACTTTTTTTAATGATTAAGTTCAGTCACACTTGTTTTAACAAACTAATATACATTTTAAAAGCAAATTAAATATAAAATAGTTCTGCATTACTCTGGTAAATTGGCATTACATTTGGTGAACATCGCATTATGACTTGTTTAGGACTCGACACTCAAGTTTAGGACTTGGGACTTGATTCAGGACTTGCTTGTCTTTACTTGGGACTTGACGTGGGACTTAAGTGTAGAGACTTGAGACTTACTTACGACTTGCAAAACAATGACTTGGTCCCACATTTGACTTATGCTATAGTTCATGTGTTCTTAAATCCAATGATTACACCTTGGATCCAAAGAGTCCCACATGGTGCTCACTAACAAAGCTGTGGTCACTTCACAAAACTCTAGCGAAAACGAATGCTCCTAAAAGTATTCCAATAATCTAAAAGTCTAATTTTATTGGCTAAACTGGTCACATCTAACACTTAAAACCTACTTTAAAACGTTATTTGTGCTGAGGGGTAAAATTAGACTTTACTATTTACATTTACATTTTCTGGGACATTCAAACACGTTGTACCAGTGTTTTCTGCAGTTATTGTTAGTGGCACAGAACAGCTGCACATATTGTACCTTTGAACCATTTATTTTTTTCATCAAGTAGAAACAATGTGATAAATTGAATCTTTCAAAAAAAATAAATAAATAAAATGTTTTATTTATTTAAAAGATATGCAAATAGATATCATTTTCAGGTTTTATAGCCTCTTTCATATTGGCAGTAAATGACATGGCTGATAAATTAATTCAATTCAATTCAATTTTATTTATAAAGCCCAATATCACAAATCACAATTTGCCTCACAGGGCTTTACAGCATACGACATCCCTCTGTCCTTAAGACCCTCACAGCGGATAAGGAAAAACTCCCCAAAAAAAAACCCTTTAACGGGGAAAAAAAAAAAACGGTAGAAACCTCAGGAAGAGCAACTGAGGAGGGATCCCTCTTCCAGGACGGACAGACGTGCAATAGATGTCGTACAGAACAGATCAGCATAATAAATTAACAGTAATCCATATGACACAATGAGACAGAGAGAGAGAGAGAGAGAGAGAGAGAGAGAGATGCAGGTAATGACAGTAGCTTACAACAACATTAATGAAAGTAATAATATTATAGTTATAGTTCTGGCTACTGTGGTACAATATGTTGAAAGTATGTATTAGTATCAGACAGTATACTTGTGTGACAATAGTCATATGTGTATAATAACAGTAGAAGTATGACTAATGACTAATGATGGCAGCAGCAGCAGGAGGCATCTGGCAGGACCACGGCAGCAGCACAACCACACACGTCACACTGTCCAGGCACCGCTGCGGTATGAGTTATTCTGAGAGACAGTGGAGCACAAAGGCTCCGGAGAAGAAGCCGAGTTAGTGACATCCAGAATGGCCGAGTTAGCAAGATGCAGTAATAGGATGAGAGTGAGAGAGAGAGAGAGAGAGAGAGAGAGAGAGAGAGAGAGAGAGAGAGAGAGAGAGAGGGAGAGAGAGGGAGCCCGGTGTATTATAGGGGGTCCTCCGGCAGACTAGGCCTAAGTCAGCCTAACTAGGGGCTGGTACAGGGCAAGCCTGAGCCAGCCCTAACTATAAGCTTTATCAAAGAGGAAAGTCTTAAGTCTAGTCTTAAATGTGGAGACGGTGTCTGCCTCCCGGACCGTAACAGGAAGATGATTCCACAGGAGAGGAGCCTGATAGCTGAAGGCTCTGGCTCCTGATCTGCTTTTGGAGACTTTAGGGACCACGAGTAACCCTGCGTTCTCAGAGCGCAGTGTTCTGGTGGGATAATATGGCACTATGAGCTCTCTAAGATATGACGGAGCTTGACCATTTAGAGCTTTATAAGTTAACAGTAGGATTTTAAATTCAATTCTGGATTTTACAGGGAGCCAGTGCAGAGAAGCTAAAACAGGAGAAATATGATCTCGTTTCTTAGTTCCTGTTAGTACACGTGCTGCTGCATTCTGAATTAGCTGGAGAGTTTTTAAGGACTTACTAGAGCTACCTGATAATAGAGAGTTACAGTAATCCAGCCTTGAGGTAACAAAAGCGTGGACCAATTTTTCTGCATCTTTTCGGGTCAGGATAGGCCTAATTTTCGCAATATTACGCAGATGAAAAAATGCAGTCCGTGAGGTTTGCTTTAAATGAGAATTAAAAGACAAATCTTGATCAAATATTACTCCGAGGTTTCTTACGGTAGTGCTAGAGGCCAGAGCAATGCCATCTAGAGAAACTATGTCATCAGATAAAGAGTCTCTGAGTTGTTTGGGGCCAAGAACAATAACTTCAGTTTTGTCTGAATTTAACATCAGGAAATTGGTGCTCATCCAATTTTTTATGTCTTTAAGGCAGTTATGGAGTTTAGTTAATTGATTACTTTCTTCTGGCTTCATCGATAAATACAACTGTGTATCATCCGCATAACAATGGAAATTTATAGAGTGATTTCTAATGATGTTACCTAAAGGAAGCATATATAGAGTAAATAGGATTGGTCCGAGCACAGAACCTTGCGGAACTCCAAAACAAACTTTGGTACGTAAGGATGATTCATTACGAACGTCAACAAATTGAAAACGATCAGATAAATAAGATTTAAACCAGCTTAGTGCTGAACCTTTTAGGCCAATTAAGTGATCCAGTCTCTGCAGTAGAATTTGATGGTCAATTGTGTCAAACGCCGCACTAAGATCTAATAAAACAAGAACAGAGACGAGTCCTTTGTCTGAAGCAATCAGAAGGTCATTTGTAATTTTAACTAGAGCTGTCTCAGTGCTATGATGCACTCTAAATCCTGACTGAAATTCCTCAAATAAATTATTATCCTGGAGAAAATCACACAGCTGGTCTGCGACTACTTTCTCAAGGATCTTTGACATAAAGGGAAGATTAGATATTGGTCTATAGTTGGCTAACACCTCTGGATCCAGGGTGGGCTTTTTTAGGAGAGGTTTAATTACAGCTACCTTAAAAGACTGTGGTACATAGCCTGTTAATAGGGATATATTGATCATATCTAATATATGAGTGTTAACTAAAGGAAAGACCTCCTTAAGTAGCCTAGTTGGGATGGGGTCTAAGAGACACGTTGATGATTTAGATGAAGAAATCACTGCGGTCAATTCTTGAAGAGAAATTGGGGAGAAGCAATCTAAATATATATTAGATTCTACAGCTGTGTTTGAGGTTAGATAGGTAGGCCTACCATCTGAGGGCAGGAGGTCATGAATTTTGCCTCTAATAGTTAGAATTTTGTCATTAAAAAAGCTCATAAAATCATTACTGCTAAGGGCTAAAGGAATACAAGGCTCAATAGAGCTTTGACTCTCAGTCAGCCTGGCTACAGTGCTGAAAAGAAACCTGGGGTTGTTCTTGTTTTCTTCTATTAATGCTGAGTAATAGTTTGCTCTGGCATTGCGGAGGCCCCTCTTATAAGTTTTGAGACTGTCTGTCCACTAATTCATAAATTACCAAAATTAAATAACCCTATATTTGAAAATCATATATATATGGTGGTGAATTGAGTAAAATATTATCTATATCAGCACACTTGATCTGAATAATGTGCGATGTTGGAGAAGTTAAAACAGAATGACAGTATATGACCCCTATGGGTGGGGGTGAGTCAGGATAAGACAGTAGGTTTAACTGTGTTACACCAGCTCTAACAATAGATACCTGACCATTGTTCAGTTGGATGAAAGTAGGCTGCGGAAACACATAGTGCAGTAAGACAGGTAACATATACTTTGCAATTATGTCAAATCAATACTCTACTTCCTATTTCAAGAACAGAGCTGGGTAACGTTTCACTCGCACGGATACATAATCCTCAAAACTGACGCCGCTACATGTTGTTTAGAATTACATGCTTGTGTTATTTGATTTTACAAAAAAAGTGTTACAGCAACTGCAAACTGAGCAAATCTCATGTCTGCTTACCTTCGCAAGGATTAAATCGATCTTTTCTCATCTTCACCTATATCTTGTATTTAAAAGATAAAAAATACCAAATACATAGAATGCCTACTATGTTTCTGATTTTCTTTCCTTTGCCCACACAGGTTTCCACTCCTGTGGCTGATAAGTCTTTTTGCAGCGCTGGAATACTGCAGTGCAGGTATCTTACCTTTAATGAAACCATCTTTGCTGCCTTAACTAAACACACAGACAGTGACATACACTCCCTAAACATATTTCTTAAAATCGAGGTGACACTTAATCAGATTCAGTGTTTCTCAACCTCTTGTCTCTCACTCTTGTTCTTTTCAGCTGTGGACCCGAGGGAGTGCGAGAAAGCAGGCAGCAAGTGCCCCCCTCAGGCTCAGTGTCTGAAGGTCAGAAGCAACTTCACCTGTGTGTGCCGCATGGGTTTCCAGGGTGATGGCCTGCTGTGCAATGACATCGATGAATGTCGCAGTGGCCTACACGGCTGTCACTCGCAGGCCCTCTGCAATAACACCCTGGGCAGCTACAGCTGTGTGTGCCTCGAAGGATATGTTGGAGATGGCACCAACTGTCAGGACATTGACGAGTGCCAAAAAGAAAATGGGGGCTGCCATGCCAGCGCCATCTGTACTAACTATGAGGGTGGGCGACAGTGCCAGTGTAAAGTCGGCTTCAGGGGCAGCGGCTTCAAGTGTGAAGATGTTAACGAATGTGCTAACCAAAGGATCTGTCACTGGAACGCCACCTGCACCAACAACCCTGGCTCCTATGCATGTACCTGTAACGCTGGCTATAAGGGAAATGGAAACTACCTGTGTCTTGACATAGACGAATGTTCAGAGACTCCTCATGTATGTTCTTCATCACTTGGCTACAAAGGCTGTAAAAATTTGCCTGGCACCTACCGCTGCACATGCAGCACTGGCTTTGAAAGTAACGGGCAGAGCTGTGTGGACATAGACGAATGTGCAAGAAACATCTGCAGTCTATTTGCAGATTGCGTTAACACCATGGGGTCATACAAGTGTACCTGCAATCCTGGTTTTGACGGCAATGGACTAACCTGTGCGGATATAAATGAATGCAATGTGAACAATCAGTGCGACCCCAGCGCTACTTGTATCAACAGACTCGGAGGTTATGAGTGCTCCTGTTTGGGAGGTTTTATAGGAGATGGTCGAGTGTGTGAAGATGTTAATGAGTGTGCAACCCCGAATATCTGCCCTTCTACCACTACCTGCGTCAACACTGGGGGGTCATATTACTGCGACTGTGGCATCGGCTTCATCTTCAGCAACTCCACATGTCATGACCAGGATGAGTGCACAGAAGGGCGTTGCAGCCCCTATGCAATCTGCACAAATACACCTGGCTCCTTCTCTTGTCAGTGTGCATCAGGGTACAGGGGGGACGGCTTTACTTGTGTGGATGTGGATGAGTGCTCGTTGGCTAAGCAGTGTCACAGAGATGCTCTTTGCATTAACCTTCCTGGTTCTTACAACTGCACCTGTCAGGTGGGTTATTCTGGAGATGGGGTGATCCGGTGCAATGATGTGAACGAGTGTCTGGTGGATAATGGAGGTTGCAGGAACAAAGCTACATGTGTCAACGACCAGGGTTCCTTTTCTTGCCTGTGCCAGCCAGGCTTCATCTTGATTAATCAGACACTTTGTCAGGATATAGATGAGTGTAAGGAACCAAAAAATCCATGTGGAGTGAATGAAGAATGCAAGAACATCGACGGGTCATATGAGTGCCCCTGCCGGGGTGGTTATTACCGCCCTGCCAGCAACATGGACTGCGTCGATATGGACGAGTGTAAAGACGACCCGTGTCATGTCAATGCCACATGCCTCAACACCATAGGGTCCCACACTTGCACCTGCAAACGAGGTTTTTCAGCAAATGGCACTCAGTGTGAAGACATAGATGAGTGTTCTGGGGAGGGTACATGCCACCCACGAGCACTGTGCACCAACTTCATAGGGGACTTCTTTTGCTCCTGTCAGCAGGGTTTCAAAGGTGATGGTTTCTCCTGTCAGGATGTGGATGAGTGCAGCCTCTCTAATACCACTTGCCCAGCCTTCTCAGAGTGTATCAACTCCCCTGGAGCTCATGTCTGTTCATGTTTAAATGGTACAGTGGCCTTTAATGACACCTGTGTGCCACCAAGTCCATTGTGTGACCCTGCCTGCCACACTCATGGCCTGTGCCACCAATCACCTGCTGGATACCAGTGTGTGTGTGACCTGGGTTACATGGGTGACGGGCTGACTTGCTCTGACATAGATGAGTGCCAGAGGGAAAACATTTGTCCTCAAAATAATACGGAGTGTATGAATGTCCCAGGATCGTTTTCCTGTGTCTGCAAAAAAGGCTACACTCTCAATGGAACACAGTGTGTTGGTAAGACAGGTCTTTCTTTGTTTTGTTCAGAGAAATCTATAACTTGCAATTGTGCCCCCAGAAATATTTCATAGGGGTGGCCAAATGGGGCAACTGAAATTTTGGGGTGGCACACCTAAACAAAAACCAATAACTGAATTTGAGGGAATTCTGTTGTGCTCTTTGGAGGTATATATTACATTATAGGCTGGTTAAAAAAGATGTCAGTATGAGTACTAAGGAATCACTAATATGTGCAAATAATACATCATTAATAATGGAAATATCAATTATATTCTCTAACATGTGAACATAGCAGAGAGTAGAACAGAGCTGCTGTCCACTGTTGCCCTGAGTTTTATCGAATGCTGTAGGATGATATTCATTCCAGGATATGGAGAGACATATGACAGATGAGTTTCCACACATCTTAATTTGACGTGACAGTACAAGAATAAAGAGTCTACCTCTTTTTCTAAAATTCTGACATATTTTCCTTTCTCTCCAGAGCTACTCTAATAATGCATTCTCCTCTGAAGCGATGCTGTTAAGCTTTATTATCTCCCTCTCGCCCCCCCCACCCCCTACCCCCAATTGTCCATCACCTCTGTAGATGTCAACGAGTGTGAGACAGGGCAGCACGAGTGCAGTGAGTTTGCCCAGTGTATCAACAACAAGGGCAGCCATTCCTGCTTCTGTCTCAGTGGCTTCACAGGTGACGGGAAAAACTGCTCTGGTATGTATCAATTCCTCATTATTTACCTTCTATTGCAACACTTGGTTCTTTTGCCCCCATAAGTGAACTCCCCTTAAGCACCATTTGGGGCTGTTTCCCTGACACTGTCCCGTTTTGGATAAATTATAGACTTTGATGAGTGCCAAGCCCAAAATGGAGGATGCCATCCAGTTGCCAGCTGCACAAACACACCTGGATCTTTCTACTGTGCCTGCCCAACTGGAATGCAGGGCAATGGCTTTGAGTGTGAGGACGTGGACGAATGCGAGCAGAACTCCACCCTGCCACATAACTGCAGTGCCCAGGCTTTGTGCCACAACACAAACGGGTCCTACATCTGCCAGTGTCTGGATGGATACCAGGGTGATGGCTTTGTTTGTGAGGATGTGGATGAGTGTGAGCTGACCACAACCTGTAGCAGGAACATGACTTGCAGCAACAGCCCTGGTTCATACACATGTTCATGTATCTTGGACCTGGTGTATGACGTGGGCACATGCGTGAGTGAAGACACTTGCTTGAATGCTAGTGACATCTGCAACCCACTTGCCAAGTGCCACAAATACCAGGGTTCTTTCTACTGCCAGTGTGAAGATGGTTATGAAGGAAGTGGTATTGAATGCCGAGATGTGGACGAATGCGACAAATCACAAAATAAAACCTGCCCTGCCTTCTCCTACTGCTTCAATACTAATGGCTCCTACATCTGTGACTGCTGGGAGGGGTTTCAGGAGAATGGGACACAGTGTCTGGACATAGACGAATGTGGAACAGGGAACTTTACCTGCCCTGACAATAGTACTTGTACTAACATAGAGGGAAGCTACGAATGTGCCTGTGACCCAGGCTTCACAGGCAATGGCTCCCTGTGTTCGGACGTAGATGAGTGCTCCCTTGGCATCATCCAGTGCCCTAAATTCTCCAACTGCCTAAACACAGTTGGGTCTTTTCTCTGTGGATGCTGGGAAGGTTACCAAGGCAACAACAGTTACTGTGAGGATATTGATGAGTGCCTGGACAACTCTACCTGCCCTGAGCATAGCACATGCATCAACACCAACGGAAGCTACCTGTGTATTTGTGATGTGGGATTTTCCAGTGTGGATGACTTGTGCGTGGACATAGATGAATGCAATGACATGGAGCAGGGGGAGCTTTGCACCAATGGCACATGTATGAATGCTATCGGCTCATATTACTGTGAATGCATCAAAGGATTCTGGAGTAATGGGACCGAGTGCAAGGATGTAGATGAATGCTCAGATTCTCTGAACTCTTCAGTGTGTCAGCACCATTCAACATGCATCAACATCCCTGGGTCTTACCGTTGCCCCTGTAATGAGGGGTTTATCCTGAATGGTACTGAGTGTCAGGATGTAGATGAGTGTAATGACCCATATGTCTCCCCTTGCCCTGAGCACTCAATATGTAACAACACAGCAGGGTCCTTCCTCTGCCCATGTTCTCCGGGGTACAAACCCGTCAGCATGGGTTGTGAGGATATCGACGAATGCCAGGACAACTCCACCTGCCGCTTTGACCAGGTGTGCACCAACCTGCCTGGAGCATACAACTGCTCTTGTCCACTGGGGTATCATGAGGAGAAACAGGCATGTGTCGACACCAATGAATGTGAGAATTCACCTTGCCATCCCTCGGCACGGTGCTGGAACACCCTTGGCTCCTTTTCATGCCACTGCCCTCTTGGCTTTGCTGGAAATGGCTCCTGGTGCAAAGATGTGGATGAGTGTGTCGCCCTGTCCAAACCGTGCCACCCTCTTGCTCACTGCCACAACACTCCAGGGTCATTTGTATGTGTGTGTAAACCCGGCTTTGTGAGTATCGGACCAATGTGTGTAGACTTTGATGAGTGCCAACAGGCTAATGGGCAGTGTCACTCTGCTGCAACCTGCTCCAACCATGCAGGAGGCTTTAAATGCTCTTGCGGTCAAGGCTGGAATACTACCAAAAACAATGGTCATGGAAAAGGAGGATGTGTGGACTTTGATGAGTGTGCTTACCCCATGGCATGTCCTGGACAAACATCCTGCACCAACCTGCCAGGGTCTTACAACTGTTCCTGTCCCGAAAACAGCACAGTGTGCAGAATGATTACTCAGAAGGGTTGGTTATGTCATTTTTACTTGTGTTTTTTTATTATTATGAATAATTAGGCGTAGTACTTATTACTTTTGCCAATATTTTCTTCAAATGTCACATTGTTGTCAGGTGAAAACCCTGTATCTCAAAAATGTTTGATGACCTGTGTAGAAACTATGCATTTTGGGGATCATCCCATTTGTAAGTAGTCTCACATACCACACCGATGTCCACACTTTGTTTTAGTGGGGAAAGGTCTGGTTGAACCTGTCATAATTCTGCACTAAGGAAACAAATGTTCTGAGTTATTTGTATTTCTTCACACCAATCACAATGATCTGGGGGGCACCAAGCCCTATGCCCTTGTGCAATAATGTCGATAGATAGCGGAAGAGGGGGAGAATTCTATGTGAAATAGATAGCCAATGGCAGGCTTATGAGAACAGCCCATTGCTCCACTGGCCCAAAATTTTGAAACCTCTTTAGTCTGAAAAATGTCCTATTGGACAAGGCCTGTTTTTCCAAAAAATACACACTCCCTGTGGTTAGACAATCCCGTCACCAGAAAAATGTTGCCATTGTATGTTTCTAAACCATGGATATGTTACATTTGTCTACAAGGCTGTGGTGAATGTGTGGATATGTTTAGGCACAAAAAAAAGAGTAAAAGGTTGTGTTAGGCTTAAAACACGCACGTTTGGTGGCATAAAAGTGGCTAGAAAAGCAGGGACAGGTTGGTGAAAAACACCTGGGGTCATGGTTCAAACACCGCTGAGAAACATCATGAAGGGTTTGTAAAAACACCTGGGATCGATGGCTCAAATGCAGCTGGGAAACTTAAACTAACTGCAGGGAGTGTGTTCTCAGAGAAAAGGGGCTGTGGAGCAATGGGCATTTGGTTTCGGAATAACGGGCTGTGGGTGAAATGGGTTTTCCATCCAATGGGCCATTTTTCAGACTAATTGGGGCTAAGGAATTTTGCGCTGTCAACGGCATGGTTATACACAGTCTTCATCCTGTGAGTCACATTAATTTGCAAGTAACTTAAAAATGGTAAATTTCATCAAAACATAAAAACTAGAGAAGCATGATTTCGATAATTGCAATAATTAGCAAGCCCAATTGATCTAGCTCCTGTGTACTGTAAAGCTAAACTGGGCTCTCACTTTTTCAAAAATACACTTGGATAAATTATAGTAAACACAGAATTAGACTGAATTAATTCAAAGGCTACTAACATAACCTAATCAACTCACAATTTATGTTTTGTTCACCTCACTGAGTGATAAGCTAACGTTACTATAAGAGAGCTGCATTTTACAAAGTCTGCTAACAAACTTACCTCCGTCCATGATTTTTCTATTTATGGTGTCAAATGCTTCCTCACATTACATCTCAGGTGGTTTGGTGTTATCCAGCACAGCGTTCAGTGCAGCTTGCTAGTTTTCCCCGTTTTACGTTAGTAAACAGTTTTGCCAACTTAGCGACTTTGTCGCTATATTTAGCGACTTTTCAGACCCCTCTAGCAACTCTTTTTCAAAAAAGCGACTAGCGACAAATCTAGCGACTTTTTCTGATGTTATTGAAGACTTCTGGAGACTCTGTTGTGAGAGCACGTATTATTCTTATTCTTCTCAATGAGCAGCAGACGCTGCCGTGGGCCCTTCCTTCTCCCCAAAGCACTCACAGACGGCCCAGTCCTCCCTCCCAGCAGCAGTCAGAGCAGGAGATGTTATCCCCTCCACGTCCAGACTGCAAGTGAATCACTCATGCGCGGAACCGCCGCTGGCTGTTCCAGACCTGGTTTACAGTCAGGGCGGGATGTAAATGTAAAATTTTCTTTGTCTAATATAAATCACTGAAAGAAGGTTCATTTGTAGTTCTAAACATATTCAGGGTGTTTTTTTACTCTGTTTTTGTCTCTCCCACGATGTTATTCCTCTCTCCTACAGCAGCCATTACAATTACATGCATATGGACAATTAAGCAAATTAGGCGATGACATCATTTAGCGACTTTTAGGACAGCCAATAGCTACTTTTCTTACTGAGGAGTTGGCAACAGTGCTAGCAAAAATTAGAGCAATAGCCCAGCTCACACAGCAACAGGGGACACAATAGATCAGAGTGACAGTGCTCTTTTTTTTCTTCAAACAACCCCTACTGAAAAACAAGGCACAGCCTAATGACCTTATACACTTAATTTGGAATTTGAACTGATTATTACCACTACTGTATCTTTTTTTTCCCTCCAAATTTTCAACAACCTTCAAATTTTGAATAACAAGTGACAGCTTAAACATTCAGGTCAAATGCTGGTAACTGATTTCATTGATGACAATATAATGTACATGTAGCTATGTTTTGTTTTGCCACTGATTAAGTCTCTGTGCTCCCCCCATAGAAAGCAGCCTGTACCCCTTTGGAGCAGAGGTGGGTGATACAGACATAAAGATGGACACAAAAGATGGAAATTCCCCATTCATCACACTACCAATGCGTTTCCCCTTCCTGGAAAAGTCATACGCCAGGATTTATGTGAGTTTCCAAGACCATTTATCTACAACCCTAGAAAGATGTCAGAGAGTGCATACTGCCAAAGTTGTATAATCCTCTAAAAGTGTTATTTTGAAATTGTGGAGAATATTAAGTTATGATTTGCATCTGAATCCAAATGTCACATCTCATAAACTTTTAAGAAATTCCTGGATCCACAGCAAAGATGAATCACCTCTCTTACTTTCCAGTAAATTTAACAGTAACTTTACAACAACTGTAATTAAAACATCGCCTTCTTGGCAGAGGTGACAGTAATGCTCAGTGGAATATAACAGAATGCTGCATAACCATCATGAGTTTGATATTTGATAGCAATGCAATGGCTTACTACAATCTACTGTATAAATGGCAGCATAATATTCCCCAAAGTAAATGTGATCTGTATGGGGCTTACATGTTTTGCTTTGCTTAGGGTTTACAGCAGTGAAATAATGTAGCAGTAAAAAAATCAGAAAACTATAATTAAATTATTTTTTAAAAAGTTAGAAAAAAGTGATGGTTTTGTGACAGAAGATGACAGCCAAACCTTCTGTCTGCTATCATATCTGTATTTTCCTTTCCTTCCTCAGTTTTCTGACAATGGCCTTGTCCAGTTTCAATCTGTGGCTGAGAATGAGCAGTACCTGCTCCCAGCTCCTTCAGCAAGTGGCTTCCCCGACAACATGAAAGTGTCTCTACTGGCGGTGTTTTGGGACGATGCTGACCTCACCCATGGGGACGGACGGCTGCTCTATCAGGTTAGATGGAGGAGGACATTGTCTGGCTGGAGTCAAAATGAGATTGGAATTTGTTTTCGTTATTTGTTCAGGTGAAAGGATAAAGTAAAGAAGACAAAGTCATAGACCGGCCTTATCTTTTTTGGATAGAGGTGCAATCAACAAAACAGGCTGCCTGTCATATCTAATGGTTTGATAGCTTTACTCTGCAATTCATGTTTTATATTACTTCTCCTTTGGTTTCTTTTGATCTTTCAGGAATACCATGAGCTAGATATGTCAGATGTCTACTCTCAGATAGTTTTTAACCGTACGGCAGAGGAAGTGACAAAGTTTGAGGAGCAGAGAGGCAAGCCAGCCTTCACCCCTGCCTGGATCCTCAAGATCACCTGGGACCATGTGATGCCCGTCTCCTACCAGAAGATCAACTACTCAGAGGTAAAGAGATTTAAATGCAATCAGATTTTTTTCTCTGAAATGCCGAACCAAAATTACTCCCACTGGTTATTAGATACCAGAAATGTTGCAACACATGTTCATCAATATCAGTAACAGGCATACATTTTCCACTGGCTTGGTTGTTCTATGAACAGTTTTAGGTTTCTCTATCTGGCATAAATACTGTAATTAATATATATGTTTTTTGTTTAATCCTGGTATATAGTCCTGATGATGAAATGATAAGAAAATGGCTTACTAAATATGCATGTCCTGCATAGCATAATATATTCCCACTCTCATTAATGTCATTATAATTCAAAACACTGTCTGACTGAAGCACTGCCTTCCGCTTACTGTTAATCTGTTATGTGCCAGTGTCAGTAAAAGGCGTGATGGAGCAGGAACTGTTACTGTTTGCTTGCATGTTTGTCCTACTTTATATGCTATTGTTATATGCAATGTGAACCCTTTTACCATAAGCTCAAAGAAAGCAGAACGCATAATTCCTGGAACACTTGTGCTTTTTTTTGTTAAACTCTGGTGCCACCTTGGGGCTGTTTCACCTGCAGGGCTCAGATGCACAGTGTAGAGATATCTGCTGCCACCTGTCTATTGAATGCCTTCTTGCAATCTTATTTTTTTGTTTGAGGAATTGTGTAGTGTTAAAACACTGACAGATTAAAATCAAAATTAAATAATTGTTTTAGTTCATGAAGATCTGCGTCTGAATGCAAGTAAACAAAGATTATGTGGCTTTTCTTTCACTGTACTTAATAACTAAAACAGTTCTGGTTTGTCATCATCAGACGAACACATTCCAGGGTATCCTGACCACCGACGGAGCACGCTCCTTTGCCCTCCTGCGATACGGGGAGATGCTCTGGGGTCCTGGCCAGAGGCAATACCATGACGCTCTCATCGGCTACACAGATGGAAAATTCTCCCACAAGGAGCCCACTGTACCCCCAGATAACCTTTTCGGGCCTGGGGGCAGATACAGGCCGCAGCAGGTGAAAGGGGTCATGGGGAAGTTAGGTCAGCAGGTGTATGATTTGACAGGGCCTCCCGGGTCAGACGTGGATTTCAGTATCAGGTGCCAGTCGTGGGCGATGAAGGAGCCTGACCCTGTTAAATGGACGAACAAGTTGTCTTCGTGTCCCTGTACTCGCACACAGGCTCTAGAGGACCTGTCGTTCATGCAGGATACTGCTGATCCGGGCTCGAGGGTGAAGACACTGAGGGGTCAGCGGTGGGGGGGCGGAGGGGGGCACGTCTTCCAGTCCATCCTGTCCAGCAGAGATGGTTCAGGGAAGAGGTGTGTGTATGAACCAGATGGTCCCCTGCTGGCTGGGTACAATGAACGCTACTTTTCTGGACACAGCATGCAGAAACATATTGGTAATACATATGATTTTCTATTTTTGGTCAAATCCAACAAAAAAAAAAAGTATAAACAAAAATGTGTGTATCTAAAGGAGCTTTGTACTGTACCTGTACATTTTACTTTATAAATGCACAGGAATTTAGTAAATTCTACAAACTATTTTGAGTAGTTCTTAATATTTTTCACTTTCAAATAGGCAGACAAAAGCAAATCAGTTTGAGTTACCGTAGCAATTACTGAGTCAGTAAGATGTTAGTGCCTTGCTCAAGGACAAAGTAAGATACATGTCTGATGTCGGCATCATACCTGCAACCTTCTACTTATATTACAGGACAGTATATCTGCTAATCCATGCTGCCACAGCCACTTGCCTTTTAAGTATTAATTCAAACTTCTCTCTCTAGATGGTGATCTTCTGCCATTTCAGTGGTGTTGTATCGAGTCTCCTCTCTGCCACCTTTACCTCAACAAGAGACCACTGGACCGTTGCCAAGGTTACAGCTGGGCCAGCCCTGGCAGCTGCACTCCGGCCAGGAAGGCGACGCAGGGTGTAGGTGAGGGATTCTTCCCAGTAAACAGAGCCAGAAGAAGATCACATACTGTTCAGTAATCAGTGGAAGTGTTTGTTATTTTCAAGCATCCAGTCCATAGAATGTATAAAATAATAGACACAGCCACAGTGATGTCACCCCTGCTTTGTGGACTCCTGTTTTGAAGCCTCAAGTTTTGACTTTTTGGTTGTCCCCATATTGGATTTTGGTGCCAGAAGTGACTGTATTTGAACAAAAGCGTGGAGCTAACCCTGATGCTAGCTGCTACCTTGGTTAGGACAGTGCATTTACAACTATGGGTGACTGGGACAATGCCAGTGCAAAACCCAAGCCTCCAAGCCATCCAGTCCTCTGGAGCTGAAAAATGAAGCAAACAGGCAAGTGTCAAAAACAATTCTTTGAATGCAACTTCAGGCCAAACTTTAAATGCCAAACCTTACAGCAGGAAGAAACATGCTTACAGCCTGGCACAAAAAAGCTGTTTTTGGTCCATATTTTTTATTGATTCATTCATTCATCTTTTAACCGCTTCATCCTCTTGAGGGTCGTGGGGGGGCTGGAGCCTATCCCAGCTTACTTTGGGCAAGAGGCAGGGTACACCCTGGACAGGCCGCCAGACTATCGCAAGGCTGACACATAGAGACAAACAACCATTCACACCTATGGACAATTTAGAGTTATCAATTAACCTACCGCTGACATGGGGAGAACATGCAAACTCCGCACAGAAGGGCTCCTACACCCGGGATCAAACCGGCAACCCTCTTGCTGTGAGGCGACAGTGCTGACCACCACACCATCGTGCCGCCCTTTTTATTTTTTATATTTTTTTTATTTTTCCATATTTAAACATTCATGACAAATGTATGAGGAGTGAATTTTTATGTAGCTCATCTCTTTAAATGTATTTAAGGCTTAAAGGTATGTATAATTAAGAACGGGCCACTTTGAGTAACAGGCTGACTGCAGTTAGTGTCCTTGGCTTCTCAGTCAGCTCCGCCCTGTTGTCCAAATATGGTCACTTCTGGCTCCAAAAAACAAAGATGATAACAGCCGAAATGCCAAACCTAAGGCTTTTATACAGAAGTCCACAAACCAATAGGTGATGGCACAGTTGCTACATACAGTAGCATTATACAGTCTATGCAAAAGAAACTGGCTTAAAACCATTTTTAAAAATGTATTTATCATAAAAACTGAGTATCCAACTCCTTAGAGCAGTCTTACTCAACTTACTGCCTGTGGACCAGATTCGGTGCCAGATGGCCCACTGACCATTTTCTAATTGACAGTGAAGTAAATTGATTCATACTGAGAATTTTTTTGTACTTGGAATGATAATAAGGTGCCAGATTGCATAAAAAAACGTCCTCTAAATAGAGCTTTTTTGTTAAAAAAAAAAAAAAAAAAAAAAAAAAAAGTGCCAGGGGAGGATCGACTATAGAGGTCCTGGCTAAGCCTCGAATGTCCCAAATCCTAGACATGCCTATCCGTACACCTGACGTGTAGGGCTGCTGCAACTGGATTTGCCTCTTGACACAGATGAGTTAGGACAGCAAACGTCAAAAGGTTGAAACAGGCAATTCATTTATTTTATATACTGATAAATATAATTAATTTTTGTTTATTAACTGGCCCCTGGCTTCTCGTCATTTTATAAAAGTGATTCTTGGGGAGAGCAAGTTGAGAACCCCTGTCATAGAGGGTCATTCAGAATAACCAAACATTGAAGAAGACTTTTTTAGGCAACCAAAATGTCTATAAACAGGTTTATTTGTGCTGTAAAGTTGGGCATTTTAACATGGGCGTTAATGGGGACTGACTAACTGTTGAAATCAGCCTCAAGTGGCCATTTGTGGAACTGCAGTTTTTAACACTTGGGCACTGAGTTCATTTTTCAGCCCAGACATTGTCACTAGATCTGGTCATGATAGCAGTCTGTCCATTCCCAGAGAATATGCTTTACCTTTTTATCAAAGAGGACCGTAGTATGATGAATTTAAATTATTTCTCAGAAAACCTCTTTTGTCCATGTTTCCTTTGCAGCGATGATGTACGGCAGCCTCCATTTCATCACCTTCGATGGGTCGGAGTACTCCTTCAAGGCCCTGGGAGAGTTTGTGATATTGCGTCTCTCCTCCAGCACCGGCTCTAATATCTTCACCCTGCAAGGACAGACTGACAAGCTACACACAGACGCAAAGGGGATCACTGAGTTCCCAGTGGTGGTGCGCATGGCTGCCTTCCACCAGGGCATTGGCAAGGTCAGGATGTTTGTGTGTGTTGAGGGGAGACAGTGTAACTGTGTGTGTGTCACAGAGAGAGTGTTTGTGTGTCTTAAAGGATTGTTGCATTTAAGAAAATAAGCATATTCACTTTGTTTCTGAGAGTTAAATGATGAGGTTGATGGCATTCCCATGTTTATATGTGTTAAGTAAGGAGGTGGAGCTGGGAGGTAATTAGCCTAGCTTAGCATAAAGAAGGGGGGGGGGGGGACAGCTAGCCTGATTCTCTCCAAAGGTCAAAAGTTTATGCTAAGCTAAGCTAATCTCCTCCAGCTTTATACTTGAATGCACTTTCTGTGATTTCTTTTAACGTTTTGGAGTACAAGATGGGTGCAATTTTATGTAAAAGTCAATAACACCAGTACAGAATCTTACAGTTTAGACAGTCACAGTGATTAAGTTTCTTATACTCTGCAAAACCTATCTATCCAGTTGTTAAAGCAGGCTAAATAAATATTGTTTATGGATTTTTCTCAGATTGAGTGGAGATGTGCAGCGAAAGGAGATGGATTGCATATTTTTGTGGATGATGTTGAGGTCCCGGTCACTGTTGGTAATGATCACCACACACGTTTGACATTCAATCAAAAAGCTCAATTGGGAAAATTTTGCTAATTATTAAATCCCATCTACAGAGTATGTATTTAAGGCATTAATTATATGACAAATATGTCACGACTGTCCTTTCAGGTGTGGTGCACGTAGGTGAGAAGGACTTCGCTGTGCGCTGTATGTCGGTGAGTCGCTGCGCAGCAATTTACGATGGCGGTCTCCACGTGATGGCGTGGCGGGTTGCAGGTTACAGTCAGCTGGCAGCCATGGTGGAGGTTCCTCAGACATTCTACAACCGCACTGTGGGTCTCATGGGTCTCTGGAGCTCTAATCGCACAGACGATTTCCTGATGTCGGACGGCAGGCTGCTCCTCTCAACGGACCTCAACCCTCCCTCAGAGGAGAGACTGCACCACTTTGGCTTGTCCTGTGAGTGGACTGTAGATCAATACAGTTACACAATTTACTTGTGTTTAAAGAGAAAAGTGGAGAACATTTTTCAAAAATGATATGTATATATTGTATAAATAATGTGTATTGTAATAGAATCAGGGTTGCCAGACTGATGTAGTAGCTATTTGGCTGGAAAGATCCTAGAGTCTTTCTCTTAAGCACACTATAGGAGAAGAGCAAAAATAAGAAACATAAGTAAAGCCCAGAAATGAATGAGTATGAACAAAACAAGAACAAATTGTAGATACAAACAAAAATAAGAAAACATTTGTCTGTATATTGCTTTCTGCATGAGGCTTGGGGTGGGAATCACCAGAGGCCCCACGATATGATATTATCAAGATGTATGATATTGCCATCATCTAGGCAATTTATCCAGTGTTTTGCACAACTAGACCTGTCCCAGTCTACATCTATCACCATTTCTGTATGCATATGTATGTGTGTGTGTTTCTAGGGGCAGTTCCTGTACCAGAGAGCCTGTTGTTCTCCCCACCTCCACTGGTTCCACTGGAGCCTGCCTCCTCCAAGCAGCTGCTGGAAAGCGTCAGTCCCGCTGAGGTGGAGGAGCTGAGGAGAACCTGTGAAGGCAGCATGCAGTGCGTCCACGACACCATAGCATCCGGCAGCTCTAACCTGGGCCTGCAGACTCGGGACGCCAAGAAGCGATTCCAAAATCTGGCTCTGATCTATGGTACGATGGCTGCACTATTTTGGAAAGGTTTTAAGTCTTCACCACTGACCTGTACTAATTTGATGTGGTCTGACTGTGGTCTGCCAGGTAACATGCCTCCCATAGTGACAGAGCCCACAGTGATCCACTGTAAGGTCAACTCCACTGTCAACATTCAGATTGTGGCTCAGGACCCAAACGGAGACCCCATCACCTACTCGCTGCTCCACCCCAGGCCTGCACGGACTTCCATAGGCAGCGGTGAGACACACACACACACGTTTTCCCATCAGATTTTCATACCAAAGAGAGCCCCCCCTCCTCCATCGACGTTACAGATGACGTTACTGTTGACATTTGTTAGTGGGATGGTGAGCCTACTGCTGTAGCCAGCAGTTAAGTCTTTCAGCAGATGGAACATTTCAGAGCTGAATCAGAGGATGGGTCACACGGAGATAGACACGCACATGCAAACAGAACGCACAAAAGACTGGCAAAAAAGGATGACAGGCTGTTTTTAATAATACCACCATAAAAAAACACTGCTGTAAATGTAGAATTGTATGGTTTTTTCCCCTTATTAAACCAGAGGAAGACAATGGTATAGCCTCTTAAAGGGAAGGTTCACCCCAAATACATATTTTCCTCTTACCTGTAGTGCCATTGATCAGTCTAGATTGTTTTGGTGAAAAATGCAGATTTGGAGATACCACCCGCCAACTGTGTCACCTGGCAGAATTATATTTTTGATTTTGGGATGAACTGTCCTTTTAAGAATGTTATGTACACAAATGTGTATGCGTATGAATGACCCATGTGCTTTCCGCTCCAGGTGACGGATTCCTGACATGGACCCCCCTGACCACACAGCCTGTCCAGCTGACCATCAGAGTCAGTGATGAGCTCACCAGCTCCCTGTTCACCCCCATCCTGCGTGTCTGCAACTGCCTCAATGGAGGGACCTGCCAGTATGACAGCATAGCTGAAAACCATCAGCAGGGAAAGTTCCAGGTACTTTCTTCAGTTGCCCTCATCACTCACTCTATTCATCATCAGACATACAGCGCTCCATTTGAAAAATTGCCAGTTTGCGTTGCCCTTGAACAGGAACAAGCAGGTATAGTGCAGACAAAAGTCATTTTGTGCTCAGAGGATTCTTTATTTGATTGAGTGATTTGTTTATTTGAGTGTCCTGCACCACATAATAACAACCAGGATGGCCACATGACAAATCATGATATACAGCTCCACAATTTTAGAAAGAGAACATCTTAAAACATTCAATATCCATGACAGAGATTATTCCTGTTATGATGAATACATTGTTGTCATAGTTACTGTTTCCTGTTAAGTGAACTGAATGGCAGCCATCAAAAGAAGAGCTCACAGTTCTCGCATAAATGCCAACAAAGGCTTCAGAGCTTCCTTTAATACCATCCTATGCTTCACCAATAGACAACTAAAAATTCAAAGCATTTAATTTGTTCCATTTATCCACTGAATTTTTAACAAAGTTTGGGTATGATAGTAATACTGTACATGTGTTAAGTGTAAAAAAAAAGCAAGTAGTAGCAGTGCTGGATTAATCTCAGATAAGTTTTCATAGAATTCACATAGTAGGCGAGCACTCGCAGATTTTCTTCTCACATATGACTTTTTACTAAATGAAAAGTGAATTTCAGGTATTCTGTGTTGTTGTTGAAGAATGAAGGCTTGTTGAAAACTATGTCAACAAAAGAGTTAAGGAATCACATACTGATATACTTTGGTTTCTTATTTTACAGATAAGATTACTAATTACTTGATAAACCAAAAAGTGGCACAGTTAACATTTGAGTTACAATAATCCTTTCAATGTGTTATGTGTCTCTACATGTTAACCAATTCATTGTTCTTCAAACAGTCTGGTTGTCCTTTTCCTTAAAAAAAAAAGTTTTAATTTGAAGGAGTATTCTCAAGTTTAGGGGAGACTAGTGGGCAGAATCCATTTTCATTCAGATAGCTAGAGGTGAAAGTTCAAGGGAGTTCATGATTGGTACCAGTGGGTGCCTTAGGTTGTCTAGTTACAAGATGCCACTTCCTCATTGAGAGCACCACAGCCTCTTAAAGATAGTAATGTAGGCCTCTTATTATTTTCTCCAGAGGGGACCAGTGATTGTGTAGGGGTGGCTATGGCCCTTCCTTGGGGACATCACTGAGGCTCCAAGCTAAAGTACAGTATTAAAATCCCTACTCTTTCTTTGAGAAATTAGTATAGAGATGTCCTACTTCAAACCAAGGAAAATGAATCATTTTACAGGTTCCTTGCTTTAATCAGATTCCCTACAATCCAAGAAAAGAAATGCAACTGACCTCATGCATTAGCTGTATATAACCTGAGATGAATAGCTGGAAAACTGGCCTGTTAAAAAAAAATCAATTATGTATATAAGAAATATATATTATGAATGATTAATGAGAATATTTCTGTCCCATTTAAAGTAATTATTGAAGTTAGCAGCCAAGTTAGCATCTCACTGCTTCCCTCGTCAAAAAGCCTATTGGATTTTTCCATTGGATTTTGGATCATTTCTGAAAGTAATAATCCAATTGCTGTGGCAAGCAAGTTAATCTTCACAAATCGGCAGAAGTAAAAAGCTAGCATAATAAACAAACTACACAAAGGTTGCATGACCTAACGTCACAACCATAACAAGACTAAAGCCGTGTTCAGCTCGACAGAATGGCGTCCTATAGTCTTATTTGTTAGCAACCATTTTTTTGAGACACATAGAAGCTTGAAGTTCCCAAGTAGGGTATTCACTGACGTATTTTATGTCATAGAACAAAACGTGAAAGTTAACCACTGACCTTATTTCATGCATCTAACCAAAAACCCGTTCAAAAAACCCATTGACTTCAAGACAAGGGAACCAGGAGTCCAAAAAAACTGACTCATTTCCGGGTTTTAGGGCTCAGTCCTTGGGCATTCTATTTAGGCCTGTTCATTTCCTGCCATATTGACCTGCTTGCATGCCATATGGGCAGCTTAAATAAATTTCCTGTTGCATGATTTCAGGAAGTGCATCTGACTAAATTCAGTTGTTTTAGTTGATTGTAAACATTTGGATTCCTTCTGCACTGTTGTTGTTAAGTCCTCACGAATTCCTCTCGACATATTTCCTTGACTTCACAATGTCCTCCACCAAAGTTCGTAAACTAAAGTTGAGTTTGGGACGAGTAGTATCTTTTTTGAATGTGTGTAATATTTTAGTCTGTCTGTTTCTCCTCCTTTGTGTTCATTATTCTTCGCTCTCAGGTGGTGGGGTGTCTGTGCCCAAAGGGATTCAGCGGAAAATTCTGTGGGAACATCGCAGACGTATGTCGTGGCAAACCCTGTTTCCGAGGGGTGCAGTGCCAGTCACAGTCAAAACCCGACCTCTTCACCTGTGGAGAGTGTCCCAATAATACTGTCTCTGGGGGAAAACAGGGATACAAGTGCTTCGAGCATGGTCTGTGGCACTTTGTGTGTAGTCACTTACCATTCTTAGAGAAAAAAAAATGACCCCATACATTATGATTGGTCTTATTCTTTCTTCTCTGTATACCTCAGACATGTGCATCCCTCCTTTCCCCTTCCCCTGCCACAAAGATGCTGACTGCCTCAGCACGAAACAGAATTTCACCTGCACGTGTAAGCCTGGCTTTACTGGAGACGGACAAAACTGCACAGGTACTGAACACCCAACACTTAAACAAGAATGATAACACATTTATTTACAATGTTTCAGCAGTCTTCGTCTTTGTATTTTAGATATCGATGAGTGTGCAGATCTTGAGACCTGTCCCAATGCCAAGTTTGAGTGTAAGAACAAGCCCGGCTCTGTCGATTGCTCCTGTAGATACCAGAAGACCAAGGACACTGATGGATGTGGTATGTGTGCATAATCATACACATTCACTATCACTGAGCTGGCAGCTGAATATCTCATTTCAATAATTTATGGTTTAGAATATATTATATAATACTAGACATACTGTACAAGCCAAAAGTCCTGGTACTTACTGTAACTTGACATGACTGTGAATGGTGGGCATGCACAGACTGTACTTGACTGGCATTGGCCACATTTGTCCTAATAGTTTTTTAGGGTGCAACAGCTTTTACTGTTATGTTAAGTGCATGGATTTTGGTGACCTCACACAATTTCCATTATTCATCCTGTAAGATCCACAAAATCCCAGTGGAAATCGTGAAGTTAACACTTGTGTGCACAGCTCCACTTGACCTCTCTTGAAGATGTTTTTCTGTCTCTTGCAAAACTAAATTTGATGCAAACAAAAATTATTCCAACAGCAATTGCCACCTTTTATTTGTACATTGTAAAGGTCCAAAACAATACCAACAAGTTCCTCAACGTAACTGCAAAACTGCCAGCAGCTAACTACGTTAAAGTGCTTGTTAAGTGTCAGACAATTGCTGGTTGGTCTCAAAGGACTATGCATGTATTAAAGGTTTTGTATGAGCAGAAAGTGAAGTCACACCATCTCTGTGTGTGTTGTAATCCAAGCTTCTCTGTCGTTTGTTTTGGTAGCCAGTCCAGCCACGCATGCATGTTGGAAAAATGTTGAATCCCTGTGTGTGTATCAGACTGGATAGCTAATCGCCAATCCCAGAAACCATCGGCTATCAACCGGACAAAGCTAAAGTCTCTGGGCGCTACGGCCAGTATTTCAGGCTGATCCAGCGTAGCCAGCAGATATCCAAGAACAGACTTCTTCTTCCGTGCACCAGTTATTTCAGCTTATCTCTATTTAAAATCAGCTAACCACAATCACTTTGCACTGCACTTATACTGGCAGTTACTGATGATATCAGGATGGCTTCATGGCACACCTCCGGTACCCACCTTGGTTGACAACACTACCTCTGTCAGCATTGCTGCTGTTTTAGCACTGTTTATTAAGTTAGCACTGTTAGCTGCTAGCCACCAGCTCAGACACCTGAGAAACAGGAGCAGATAATCCTGGCCCAGACTCTGAATCACGGATATGCTCTGAATGTTATATAGACCTCCTTTAACACACAGTATTAAAATATAATGGTCATCACTGAGAGTACATCTTATTTGAAAATATTTTGAAAATCATAAAATGTATTGAAATATCAAGAGAAATAATAATAATGTATATTCAACACTGACCTGAGCCAAGGTCTAGTCAGTCAAATAACCCAAAATTTCGATGTAGTTTGCTTACCTGAAATATGGACGATGATGTGCAGTGTGGTGGGACTAAAATGGCCACACCTATATATTTAACGCTTACCACAGTGCTAGTTTGTGTATTTCTGAGATCTGTCATTATACTCTGCAACAGAGTGCACATGTCCAGTGTGTCATCTGTGTATTTAATGCAGTTCTGAATGATGTGTTTCTCTACAGGGGACTCTGCCAATCCTCCAGGTAATGCCTCCCATATGTTCTCTCTATAGCTTCATTACCTTCATATAGCTTTGCTTCCTCTGGTGTTTCCATGGTAAACATGCCCATATATGGTAATAAGAGGTCATCACACAGCTGTTGCTGCTGTTCTGTATCTACAGGGTGTAATGTGTTCAACGTCTCTGTGGGCTGGACGAAGAACAGATCTGATGGACTCAAACAGGTGTGTGCATGTGTGTGTGTGTGTGTGTGTGTGTGTGTAATTCAGTATACAAAATTATCCACTGCATAATGACAGTCTCCTTCTCTCTCAGCTGGTGAAAATCCTGTCGATGGGTTTCCAGAACAAATTCTACAACGCCAGCATGAAGGATCCAGTGCAAGGCTCCAGTCCAGGTGTGGCCGAGTATCGTATCAACGTATCCAGTGACACACCCCACTGGTACATCAGAGAATACCTGGTCAGAGTCAGCAGCCACTATGACATCAGAGCTGTAGAAGTTGATGGTAAAATACTCATATTTTTCAGTGGTTTTCACTTTTGTTCAACTTCAGCAGAATAACTAGTCTTACTAATGTTACATATTACAGTGTTGCAATTTGCCATAGTTATGTGATAGTGTGGTAAATTATCTTAAATCTCTGCTTTCCTTTGAAGGGATAGTTCAGATTTTTTGAAGTGAGGTTGTATGGAGTACTTATCCATAGACAGTATATTAAACATAGATGTCAGTGGACACGCTCCCAGTTTGTATGGGATGGCAAAGAAACATATGCTAGCCACCTAATAAATCTTTATCAGTTTAAGTGTACGCTATATTTAGAATATTTTTACAGCTTGATCTTAATGTCAGACAGTGATTTTGATGGGGAACTGAAGCAGTTATATAGCTCTCTTTAAAGCCAGACTCCATGGAGAAAACCAATGATTTACCATAGTGGGACACTACCATCGCCTTGATCAGTTAGTTTGTATGTGTTATTGTCGGACTTTGGTGATTATAAGACTTGGTTCGGATTTACCAAAGTCACACAATAACACAAACAAATGAACTCATCGAAGCAACAGTAGACCAGCAGCTCCTGTGTTCAGCGAGCTATAATTACTGGTTTTCTCAATGAAGTCTGGTGGCTTTGACAAGAGCGTAGAAGGGCTCCCCTGTCGGAACGGGCTGTCTGATAGAAAGATAAAACGGTGAGAATACTTTCAATATAACGTACACTTAAACTGATACTGATTTTTTTTCTAGGTGGGATTTTTTTAGGTGGCTTAATACATATTGTTGCTAACCCTTCCACAGCAGTTCGTCGTTTAGCTTTCATGGCGGTACTCCAGCCTGCTTTTCCGAACTGGAAGCATGCCAACTGACATCTACTGTATGTAATACACTGACTATGGATAAGTACCTCATACAACCCCACTTCAAAAAACACCAAACTGTCCCTTTAACTGGCTGACATACCACTTACTGCTAAGCTTTGCCTGGGAAAGTGTAAACACAGGCTCTTCCAGTCTGCATGCTGTAAGTTGTTTCATCTGATTTTGCATGGAGTTGGACAACTATACAAGAAATAGCCAGTCTTCTTGCTGATGGTCTTGTTTGCTTATGTAGGTCATACAGAGGAATCAGTATTAAACTGAGACTGTTTCATAACCATTAAAAACTCCTTGTAGCTGCTTTAAGGTATCGAATATACTGCAGAGGTTTTTTAATGATGGCAAACTGTTGCTCGGACTACCTTTCTCTCCCACTTGCTGTTGGACTGTCCACACCTACAGATCTGGATGAGTGTAAGGCCAAGGAGGCGGTGTGCGTCCATCCTGCCCTCTGCGCCAACACTTACGGAGGCTACAGATGTGTTTGCAACGGCACAACTGATGTGGATGAATCCCAGTCGTGTGTATTAGGTGAGGATCTGAGCATACCTTACATCCACACACACAATTTAATAGAAAATCATTGCATAGTTTTGTCATTTACAAACATGCAGAAGGCAGTCTTAACATTTATCATGTCATTTCTAACTATACAAAACATTCTGTGACTGTGATGAGAGCATTTTATAAACAAGGTTTGCCATGACTTTGTTTGACTTGACCCATTGCAGACAGAGACCAGGCGAATGATGTGGAACTAGACCTTGTTCTGGGCCTGGTCCTGGGCATCGGCATCCCTCTGCTTTTGTTGCTGCTCCTGGCAGCACTGGCCTGCTTCTGCTGCTGCAAGAAGACTGTTACCGGAGAGTGAGTTAACACAGGGATCAAATTTTTGAAATAGGGTTGTATGGAGTACTTACCCACACTCATTGTGTTACATACAGAAGCTGTCAGTCAGCTCACCCCCAGTTTGGAGAAGCAGGCTGGAGTCTGACCCAGAAGCTAAGCAAAGTACTTCTGTGAATGGGGGTCAGCAACAAAACATATTTAGCCACATAAAAACAACCCCACGTAAAAAAAAAAATCAATATCATGTTTAAGTTAAGGTTATATTGAGAGTGTGTTCAGCAGTGTAAAATCACAGTTTTTTTTTTCAGTGGAGTCTGGCTTTGAAGCGAGTGATATAACGGCGCCATTGAGGTGTAGATTGCTTAGCTTCCATGTCGGACTCCAACCTGCTTCTCCAAACTGGGGGCGTACCACCTGACAATGACTGTATGTAATATACAGTACTGCCTATGGAAAAGTACCCCATACAACCTCACTTTAAAAAATCTGAACTATTCCTTTAAATAGAGTCTACATACAGTTTTTTAATTAATACACGACGTGCATGACTGACTGAATCAGAAAGTCGGGGGGGGGCTTAACTACTCAGGTTTTTTTCTCAAGTTGATAACATTATCATACAGATTTGATATGAGCTCCTGATTATTATATTCTGTCACTTTTTTGCTGATAAGGACTATATTTAAAAGAATAATCCAGCAAATATATATACATATTGAGTACCATGAGTACATCTGAAGGTTTGGTCAGCTTAGATTCACAAAGGCTACTTGATGGTGACCCCGTTTTTGTGTTGGGGGAAAAAACAGCACTCATAGAAAATTCTCAAACAACTCCAGCAGAATAACATATTTCTCCTCTTAATTTTTGTGCCAGTAACTTAATTTTTGCCAACATATGGCTAAGGGACTGTTTATGATTTTTGAAAAAGGAGGAGGTGGTGGCAATTCAGATACTTTATTAAGCACTTAGGAGGGACATTCAACTTTAAATTGTTATATTTTGTGTTTAGTTTAAATATCCTCAGAATCCCAAAACCTGCAAGTGGGATCTCCCTCCTCTGATAAGTAAAGTACAGTCCCTAAATACAAACCTTCTGTTTGTCTGCAGTATGGTTGGCTGTTTACATTTGTTGATCAAAACTACTTTTTATTGCACTCATTGCTTTCTAATTATTTTGCACGCCATTCCTCAGTCACACCCACCAGGTTTCTCCATGATTTGCCAACATAAACATAGATGTCCCCTGGTAAAACCATGGCTATGCAGTCCTCAGAGGCAACCACTTAGAGACTCCAAAAATGCCAGAGACTCTTAGCGTCAGTGCTTTTGATTAATCTAACAACATGGCTCTTTCTTTTGGCACCACCCTCCTGCCTTACTTAAATATATATTTTTGCCTCATTAGTGGTAGGGATCTAAGAATAGCCATGTTGTCTCTTCATTTTTTATCCACATAACAATCGTCCTCTGATGTGCACTGAACGACCTTCATCATACATGTTTTCTGGCATGTAATGAGCATTACAGCCTTGCCACAGTCATGCTAACACTATGTTCATAGCCACACAGGCCTTCAAAACGATGGCCACTGCAGCGCATTAAAACCCTAATGAAAAAGAAAAATGTGTTTACGTGGGTCAGCAGCTCATTTTGGGCGGGATGAGTTAGGGTTCATTGCAGGTCACCACAAAATATATTGCTGCAGAGGATGACCGGACCACACACACACACACACACACACACACACACACACACACACACACACACAGAGTGTTTCAAGGTACAGTAGTCAAGTAGGTCTGCCCAGAGACAATCCTTTACACCAACTTGAAAGCTTTAAATCTTGTCCTCCGTACTGCTGCTGCAGCACTGCCTTCTTGTATTTAACTTCTCAGTTGGAGGACGGACTGCCCACTCTCTTACTATATTAAACAAAAACACTTCCTACTAACAGCTTTGGTCCGAGTTATGAAACTGCACTGAGTAACACTGAGGAATGTTTGCAGATAGAATATACAGTAAACCAAAGTAATGATGAGGGTAACACGTCTACGGATTAGAAGTGGTGTTTGTTCACAGGAAAAAGGTGAAACGGCAGAATAATAAAATTATCCAATGTTATTTCATGAAGAAATAGTTATACAAATACTCTTGTTTGTTTTCATTTTGAGAGTTAGATGAGAAGACTGATACCACTGTTATGTCTGTATGCTGAATATAAAGCAATACTTGGCAGCCAGTTAGCTTAGCTTGGCATAGCCACTTAAAAAGGGGGGAAACAGCAAACCTGGCTCTGTCGGAACTAAAGACAAAAAATTCTGTCTAGCACCTCTAAAGCTCACTCATTAATAGGTCATGTCTTTTTTGTTCAATCTTTCCAAAAAACAAAATTAAATAATGACACGTTGTGGTTTTGCTTTGCGTAATATAAAATTAAAAACAATGTTAGCTGGTATCAGTCTTCTTATCTAACTCTTTGCAAGAAATGTTTTTAAAACATCAAACAGTTCTTTTAAAGGAATACTTCGCTTGCAAATGACAAATTGTACATTCATGACTCATCCTGTGTTACACTGAAATCATGAAGAAGTCTTTGTTTTTCTCACATGCCTTAACGGTGAACCAAGAATCCAAAAAAAACTGTTCACAAACTCTCACACAATGCATGCAGTATAATCCCAGTCTCATCAACATAGGGGCACATTTCCCTCAATATTTAGAACATGTACATTTGTCTCCCACAATAAAAACATGAGAGTAGCAGATGACTTTTATTTTGATCAAATTAAAGACAGTTCCACCATAAATTGGTGCTGAAATGGCACAAATTGATGCATAAAAATTCAACAAAATGCAGGAAAGTGTTTGATTCTCAAAATTTCTTAAGAGACGGACCCTAAACCCCCATTTCACATGTGTCACCCCTAATGTTGAAACAAAACGTACACCTTTGGCTAAAACGTTACAATATACAACAATTCCACCTATGAGTAGCGCCTCCTGAGTTTGCCTGGACACGCACGTACCTTTGAGCTTTGCTTGCTAGTCACAATATACAAATAATCATTTTGGGGTGAAGTATTCCTTTAAATGAATATAAAACATGTGGTCTTTGCTATTGTGAGGAGCGGTGCGTTTTCTTTATAGGATTTAAATTGACCACAGATTAAAAGTCAGTCACAATAAAGGTTATTATTTAATCACATTCTCAGTTGCACATAGATCACAGAAGGATTTTAATACAAAGCTGAATAAAAATCTGCCGTAAGTGCTAAAGTACATCTCGTATCCTGATGCAAGTGTGCATGTGGATGTGCATAGCAGTGCATCATAATGTGCATGTGTCCTTGGCCTCAGCATGTGTGTGCAGATGTATGGCATCTGGGCCAGGTGTTAGTGGGCCACAGAGACCCATAATCCCCCTGATGACTGGCCTGCTTTCTCTGCTATCAGTAAATAGACCCTATGGATATAATGGCGGGGTTTGGCGCCAGCATTGTGGGATTATGTTGTTAGATTAGAGTGAATAAGCAAAAGCCAGGGAAGAGGTTATGCTATTGTCCTTTAACAAGACAGACAGACAGATAGAGATACTGGGATTATGTGGTATGATATAATAATACTAAAAGTCCCAGATGTATTGGATGTGATGGTGCAGGAGTGGTTTCCTTTGAAACTTTGTTCCTTTGAATCTACAAAATACCACAAAATTATGATGTGTAAAATCCCTGGACTGTGACTGCAATTTGGATTTAGCTTCAGCAAGTTTGAACAGAACATTTGACAGCATTAAGTGTAATCAATGTCGTAACAAAGGGTCTGAAGGGTCTTATTGGCAAGAATTGTGTTTTTTCTCCCTTTGTTCTTTTATTCGCAGAATGATTCATGGTGCACCAGGTTGCACAGCCTGTTCCTCATTATCAGAGAGGATATACATATTTGCACAAAGAACAACCATAATGAAATACAATCCAAAGCATCTGAACTGCAAATCAGCGAGTCTGGGAGAAGGGGATGTGTGTTTCATGTTTTTAATCAGCTTTAGCCCCAGATTTCAGCATCTTTCAACACTCAGAATATCTAGGCTAGAGCCTGCATGAATATTCATGAGTCACCGAGCGCTCCACAACAACTATTGCCCATCCAAACATTTCCATAAATTGCCGGAAATGATCGTCTACTGTATGGAGAACTATAGACAGCACTAATCAGAGCCAGGAATTCACTGCAAAAGGTACAAAATGTGCAGAACTCCTGGCATTAATGGTGATATATCACCACTAGTAACATTTCCACAGTACATAATGATCCACAAGGCTAAAGACACTGACCTTTTATATGCAGTGCAAGAGATAAAGTGCAAGAGATAACATGGACACTCTGCATGTTTGCCACTTTACAGCTGACTGCAGTGATTTCTCATTTACTCCTGCATTCTGATTGGCTTCTGTGTTCTCTTCCAGCCTGCCCCCTATGCATCCAGACTACATCCAGGAGCAGTACAACCCTCCGCCCTTCAACTACTCTGACCCTGCCCTGCACTACATAACCCATTGCAGCCCAAGGATCCTTGACAGCTACATACCCAGGCAACGCTACAGATAGCACATCCTAAAACCACACACACAGTGTACGCGTAAATCACTTAAACAGACACTAAAAAGCTCGCACACCCGCACACAAGAATGCACAGGCTTACAAACAGAGCACTTTTGGAGCCTCTGTATATGTTTTATAAAGACAAGATGAATGACTCTTATTTATATCGAAACAAACAGCTAATTAAACCTGAGTGACTTTTAAAGTCAATTATTTCCAATCCTCTCTGCTGAGCGATGGACCTGCCAAGTTTGAGCTGGAAGTTTTTTCGCCAGGACAACAGTTTACAGTCAGAGTCTGACCCAGCAGAACTCAACCATCTCTTGGCTGGAGATGGTGATGAAAAGTAAACCACTGCAGTGGTCTTTAGTTTCCAGCTGATACTAGGCCAACAGCCTCCTTGATAGGAACATTAGCATCTGCCAGAATATCTGGCGTCAGACTCCTGCCCTCTGTTCACAATCACATTGAGTCTCGAGTTCGTTCCACTCCAAAATGTGCAGTAATGCATCCATATTTGTATTACTCACAACCACAGAAACAGAGTTGATTCAATTTACATGTTGTTTTGGAAGCACACAATCCATTAAAAAGTAGGCGACACTGTTTTATAAAAGCATTCATCCCACTTTGGGATTACACTAAATTATTGTTCATTGCTGGATTGTGTTCCACTTAATTTAACACAGCGGAGTAATTCAGTGTTTCAACTGGCAGCTGTCGTTTGTAAAGCTGGACTGTCACTGCAATTTGAAAGAAACAATGTGTAAATATAATGTAAATCAATAAAAGCGCTAATTTAGCAACATTGTAGTGTGGAGATATTATTTTAAGAGCATTGCATCTTTGATGCTGTAACCAACATGCTACTTTACCAGTGTGGGAACACAGTGTGATTGTGGCTTAAAGTAATACTTCACCAACAAAATGACCATTTGTATATCAGTCACACACCCCATGTTATACTGAATTCGTGAAGAAAGCGTTGTTTTTCTTGCATGCCTTTACGGTCAGCAAAGAATCCAAAAATGGAGAAAATTCTTGATGAATTGAAATAAATGGGGGCCGCGTTTAACAACTATATCAAAACATCTATTTATATACTTTCAAACAACTTGTGCAGTATAACCCCTCATCATCCTGTTGTATGCTCACTACTTCCCAAACACATGCATTTTTGCTAAAACCTTGCCGTTTAAAACACCAAGGCAAGCGCATGTGATTGAATTCTGCTCAGTGGAATGCATGAACAGAGATCAAACACACACGCTACTCATATGCAGAAGTGTTTCCAACAGTAAGGTTTTAGCAAAAATGCATATGTTTGGGAAGTACTAAGCATATGACCAGATAAATGAGACTTGGAACATACCGCATAAGTTGTGTGAGAGTTTGTAAATAAATGTTTTGATGTAGTTTTGCTGGTGTTACTGTGGCCCCTCTTTACTCTTTTGGATTCTTCATTCACCGCAAAGGCATGCAAGAAAAACAAAGTTTCCTTCATGAATTCAAGGTAACACAGGGTGAGTAACTGATACACAAAAGATCACTTCATGGGTGAAGTGCTCCTTTAAGACATCCTTTACCAAGAAGGTGGTCCAGATACACTCTTTAGAATCAATGGGGAGTTTCTCTGCAGCTCACCCTGACCTCTGACCTCCCACTGAAGAGGAAAATGAATACACATTAGTCACTTTCCTGCAAGCTGATACATGTCAAGATGAAGCTGCTTATAGTCTGTAGTTGTGTTAGAACTCGTATCTTTAAGAATGACCGTGCCAAATGTTATTCTTGGCAGGGTTGAAAAGCATAAAATTGTATTGTAATCTTGTTTTCCATTGACAATCAGGGTGGTATTGATCAATTTATACAGTTAATTAAGGTCAAATAACTACACTGTAGCCATCAAAATGAAGGTGGACAATACCGAAAATGATCTTTTATCTCAACAGTGCCAGAAGAAACACCCATTACTCAAATAAAGGTAATAATCCCACAGTGTAATACTCCATTGCAAGTGCTGTTGGGTATTTTAACCTAAAACTAATCAAAAGACATCACTGTGCAAAACAGCCCCTTTCACAGTGTTACATTATTATACATATAGTATTGGATTATTATTGATGAATTAACATGTAAGCAGCATTTTAATGTTGTAGCTCATAGAGGTGGACCTAAATGCACTACTTAATCTTTAAAATGCACAGTATTACAAGTGTTGATCATATGTTTTGTATCTTTTTGCACCTGCAAAGAAACTTAAGCTGTGGCTGAGCAGATAGATGTAGTGGTATAAGTATAAAATAGCATAAAATGGAAATACACAGGCACAATTTTGAGATAAATGTTCATTTTTGATTGAATGTAGTTATTATCCACCTCTGCATCTACAGTAATGAGTTCTGTTTACCACATCATTCCTGTTCTACCCTGCAATTTCTACTCTAGCCACCAGGTGTCACACCTGAGTCTTCTACAGAAGGCAGATCAATCACATTTGTTTATGAGTAGGGTTTAAGCAGAAACGCAACACTCTCACAGCCACAAACGCACACACAGTCACACACACACACACATGCACAGGCGACTAGACACCTGCTCTGCAGCCTTCATCTGGAAGTGGCCACAGCATGCGGTGAAGCCTGCTGCCCCCCTGCAGAATGAGATCATCTGAGAGGGGTGCAGAGCGAGGCAGCCCTGCAGGTCCCTGCCACTGCAGAGACAGACCTGGCCTACGCTACAGCCAGGGTCAAGGACGGGGAGCTGCTAAAACACTCTGCCCCTGTCACTTCCTTTTTGTGGTTACGCACCAAAGTACTTGTGCACACAACCAACCCCTGCATTAACCTCTGCAGTGCTTCTCCATTCCACTGGTTTCACTTTCAACAAGACTGATTGAGAGGGTAAACTCAGATTACGCCACAACACTACATTCAGGATTTGCAGAGGAAACTTCTGGAAAGAATAAAAAAAATCCATAGCAAGTAGAACTCCTGACAGCTGTTATAGACAAAAGGCACAGCAACAGCAGCCACTGAAAAACAGCCACTGAGGATGAAATCACCTTGGCGAGAGAGCTTTGTAGTGCCACACTTCTGGAAGGTTCCAAGTAGCACTGTTTCATGTGCTGCTGAAGGCTGCAGTGTTTGAACTCCAGCTCCAAACTGACTGCAGCAGACAAGCTGGAGGCAAGCCAGTGAGAGAAGGAGAGAGGAAGGGAGAGGGACAGAGTTAGATAGAGTCAGAGACAGAGAGAGCGAGAGGGAGAGGACAGGAGGGAAATGAAAAGTGAGAGAGAGAGCGAAGATCAACAGCAGGGATTCTATTTGACAGCCAGTAAGTGGTTTTGTCCCTCAGATCCCCTCAAATAAAACAACTGACATGTGCAGGTTTAGAGATGCTTGATGATCTAGTACCCAGGCCACAAACAGAAACACGTTAGTGGGATAGAAAACTAAGTGCATGCTTAACACTATATCCATTTCATCACAACATGATTGAAATAGGCAGGGAATAGCAGGCCCCTCCAAATCCTCTTATCCGATTTGAGGCCATTAATCATTTCTGCCTCATGATGTAATTTTGGAAAACATGTCATTTCTCAGTAACAGGTAGGCCAGAATGCCGATGGGATTGGCTCATGTGCGGCTAGCCTGTTGTTGGCCTGGCTAATGCCCTTATTGCATAGCTGTAAAACCATTCACGCTTACAGGGAGTGGTTTGCCGTAGGCCGTAAACTTTGTCCATTGACTGGGCCAGACCTTTGGCCTGTGTATGCTGGGAAGCATTACTGGTAATTCTTCTTAGAGGCTGGCCAGATGTAGCAGAAATTGCCTATGGGTAATAAAAAATACATGCGTACGTGAACACACCCCTTCCCTGTCATATTTACCATTAGCACACAGTATATGGAAGCATTTGCATAAAGGCACAGAGGCCAGTCTCACATATACTCTACATGTATGGAGGTTCAAACATACCCAAAAGCAAACAGATGAAGGCCTGCATGTGCACTCACACAATGCAAAGGTCTTTTCACTTATAGCTTGACATCCATGACGCACAAAACAACTGCCATTCTCTCTCATGAAAGGTGATCCACTCCCTTGGCAAGGACCCAGCAGGTGCATTACAAAACCTCATTCATTAATAATGGCGTCAGCGTCTTTCAGTTACACAAGTAAACATCTTCACATATTTGTCACCAGCGCTTCATCCCAGACCACCTAGGAACACAAATTAGCCTTTACTTTAGGCCTTTTTTTGGCTTGGAAGCTGCTTTATAGCTCAATTGCGCAATACTCTGCACAGCACTACCACATACTGTATCTCACATGCTGTGTGCCAACCCGCCCCCATTGCCAAAAATTGAACTGACCCACATGGTAGGTTTTTCTGCAAAGGGAACAATGCTAACTGCTATCAGCAGGAGTGATGTTACAGGCCATTGGGAGGTGACATTAATGAAGATGGAGGGGCGCCTTCAGCCCTGCCTCTGCTGAACTGGAGTGACCTTTGACCCCTGCAGTATGGAAATGAAAGCTGCCGTTTTATATAAATGTCCTGGGTTGGGCTGTGTCCGATAAGGACTCATTACGTGAGGCAGTTACATATTCACAGATCTGATAAGAGGTGGGTAGTAGAGAACATAGTAGTGAGCATAGTGTGCAAGGATTAATCTGAGTAAAAAATAATCAGTTAACACCTAACATCCATAATGCAAACTGTAACACTGTACTGTGCTCCATGTTATGAGTTTCCTTGGCTTACATCATGGAGATTGGTTTCAGGTTTTTATAAACCATTAAGTCACATCTCCTGGGCTCCAATATTCCCTATCCATATTAACCTCCAACCTAAAATCACCTTTGACCTGGAGCAGGTCCTCTGAGACCTGAAGATCATTGAAGGGCATGTCATCAGCCAACCAAACAGCTGATTCTGCAAGTTGGGTGCAGAGCGGCTATGAAAATGGGGCAGGAGGACAGAAGAAGAAAGGTATTCTGATTTAGATTTATGACCCAACAGCAAACCATTGTCTCTTAACAACAGTTTTATTGGAGCAATTCCCTGTGTATGTTCTATAATAATGTCTAACATGTGTGTGTCAAGGAAATGCAGTTAAGTGTTAATGGCAACTGCATATTAGTATATAGGTCCACGTTTTACAGTGTTTGCCATGTAATTTCAGAGAACCAAAAGGTGAATTCATACACCTTCACATACATGTCGTTCACACATGCTCCAGCTTATCGGGTTCTTGTGACGGGCCTTTGTGCTGTCACCTTTGGCATTACATAATCTGCACAGTGACAAAAACCCTGTCGCAGAAAAACAGATTTAAATGAAAAGAATCCAATGTGCTCCAGATTAGGTAGGTTGGGAAAAAGCCTGGCTGATTCTAAAGCTGCTCAGCAGATCACATGGCATAGGCAGCATCACCTCTGCAAACAGTGCAGATGGAAGTGGGAACCACTTTGGATCCTCATTTCTTCCATCTACGTGTGAGATATTGAGCTTCTCGCAATCCCCGCTCTCTACTTATAGTGTGACATCCGTGTCTAATAATAAGAGAGGCAGCAGAATTGGGAGGAAGGGGGGCTGTTTTGGGACATGGAGATTCTAGTACATTCTCGGAGCGGTTCTTCAAATCCGTCTCCTTGCACATCCCTGTCCACCCTCCTCCTCCTCCTCAGCATCTCCCATGGGATCAGGCCAGAGACAGGTGGTCACTGGGTGATCAGTCAGGCATAAGCAATCAGGCATCAGATACTCCCATCCACACC